TCTGGCTTGCAACTGACAAGACCTCTGTCTTCGGGCAGAGAGTGACTCAGTCGGGGCTGTTTACGGATTGAAATTCAGCTAAGTAGAACAGACAAGCAAGGTACCCGTTCCTCGAGGTTGCAGGGAATAAGTAAATTTTGGCCCAGCGGCTTGCGTGTACGCGCTCGGGTTCTCTCCTTTAAAGCTAATCCTGTGTCGCATCCCGTCTAAGTAGGGAAATGCCTAACCGTTGTAGTCAGACTTCAGTCTAACAAATACAGGCGTCACCTCAAGTAGCCGAAGCATTACGTAGAGCGAATCCTTTTACGAATTACGTCATATAAGCAAGAGTGTGTTGTAACACGAGCCATAGAATAGTGGCATTATCATAACTTATCTTTCTCGCCATTATGCATTCGTTATTAACTGGTCTTGTTTTGAACCCTTCCTGTTCATTTTCTAACATTAGCGATGACCCTAAACTCTTGATTTACCAGGTGAAAAACTTACAATTACACTTGTATAAATGAAGCAAACATAAAAAGAAAGCATTTCAAGATCTCCATATCTTTTCTGAGGGGCCATCTTAAAACAGATACATGATAATACTTTTCTTATTTACTTTCATCCCAGTAACCCTTTGCATTTTAGTGGCATTACGATGTCAGATTTTATTATGCATATCAATTTTTTCACAATAAAACGGATATTATAATTTTCCGGATATATTTATAATAAATATGTTATATACAAGAAGACCTTTGACAATATGTAGCATGTTCTCCAGTTATGGAATCACTGGAAAAGTTTTCTCAATTATCAAGTCCTTCCTATCAGGTAGATCCGTGAAATTGTTCTTACCTCTGGCTGAGCTTTAACAACTCAATGGCAGTAAAAACTGACTGGTCAAATTCAAGGCCTTAAAAACCAATAAACTCACCGATAAGCTCCTTAATTTCCGTCTATTGCAATGTACAGATGCTCTCTTAGAAAGGCCTCTTGCCTTGAACACCAAAACTCAAGTTGAACCCGTATATACGATCCATCGCTAAAGATGCTTCAAAAATGGTTGATTCCTTATCATTGCTGCCATAACTACGCTAGAGAAGACGCCTATTCACTTTTTAGATTTTTTAGGGTCTTAAAGAGTCTAGGCGGCTTTGTAGATAATGAATTGTTTTCCATCTTATAACACCTTTTGGAACAGACGAAATGTTGCAAGCCTCTCGCTACTCTAGTTCCATTGTAACTGTTTAAATGAGCTACATTCCTAGTTCCCCATACACCCCCACCACCCCCACCACCCAACTAAGACCATCCACACCGCGCACATTGAGGCGAACTACTCTCATTCCTTTTGTATTCCTTTAATGAGTTCAACTCGGATAGCTTCTTCCCAAGTACTGTTGCTTTGTGGGAAAAAGATCCCTGGAGGATGTTTTCCAGACTACTGCAATTTTAATCTCTTCGTGTCTAGGATTATCCATTTAGCGTTTTTTTGTTTTGTTTTTCACACATAAACTGCGTCCCTTACTTTGACCGCTCAAACAACAAGCGCTTTCAGTAACACTTTAACTTGAGTGACACTCGGGCCTTTTATAGAGTGAACAGTAGTAAAGAAAATATTGCAAGTAATGTTAAATTCGAAAAGAGGGAAAAGTTAAATATAAATTAATCTCTTAGTTAAGAAGGCGGCCATATTTGGACTTTGTGTCTCTTCCATCAGAAACTGGCCGTTTGAATTTAATAATAATGGAAAGAGGAGATTTCAAATTCAGATGTGTGCTATTGAAAGAAAGATTCTGAAAGTTGGCTCATAATTCAATGTTCTATGGGAAGATGCATGAACTCACTAACTTTAAAATAAAGTAAAATAATAATTTATTCAGGTACATATGATATTGTATTGATTAAATATTTGTTTCTGTAGCCACTTCCTTAGATTTATTCATAAATTTATTTATTTATTGTTTGAACTGTAGTCCTCATCTTTATTGTCATATTCACGACGTTTCGGCCTTCTTCAGGTGATATATGTTGGAATTTTGAACAGAACTAGGTATCTTCCATATGCCATGCCTTTATCTGAATATATCCGTTTCACTTAGTAACTCAACTCTCCAATTTTTTGTGCACCTCTGCTGTGGTCAGGTATTGAAAGTACAACTATTTGTATCAAGTCAATGGTTACTTCAACCAAAGCTTTTATCCAAATAAAAACAATGTAAATAGTACCAATACCTCATCTCAGAAATAGAGAACCAATATTATTTTACGAATTCACATGCGTTCCTGATCAATTCAAATTCATAAATAATTATATCGGATATACTACAACATGCCTAACAAGAAGACTCACGTTACTTCACTCTGACCAAAGCTCAATTACGTCTCATTTAAATATACATGAAAACCTACTAAAATCTATTCGCAACATACTCGTTGATAATACAAATGTAATAGCCTCATCCACATGTAAAAAGTAAGTATAAAAATAATGGAAGCATTATTAATAAAAAAGAAAAAGCCAACACTCAATAATATCAACTATGAACACGGCCACAATATGCAGACCGTTTTTTGGGGGAAATATTCTTATAACTCCAGATACATACATATTTTACGTCCGGCAAAAGAAAATTATAAGACAAGAAAAATTAAATAAAAAACTTAACTGCAGTAACTTGTCAGTCGTTTTTAATGAAACATTCATGCACAACGCTACCTCAATTTATCACCTGAAAGTTACGTTGTGCATGAATCCCTGAGTTGTACTACCAGCGAGAAAAAAATGTATATTTAATAATATATATATATAGATAGATAGATAGATAGAGAGAGAGAGAGAGAGAGAGAGAGAGAGAGAGAGAGAGAATGAATGTATACGAAAGAGGGTCCGTTTCAGTATATAACATTCAATCTCTGTAAATAATCTTCCTCACGGAATTAAGAACATTGCTAATGTATGTGATTATTTACACTATTTACATTGTTCGGACTGTTGCTATCATCTTTATTGTCTCATTCACAACATTTCGACCGTTGTACGCTCCGGCTTTCGTCAGGTTTTTTTTTTCTTTTAATTTCGAGCCGAAAAGTTAATGTGTACGTAATGTGTTTGTTTGTCTCTCTGTATGTATGTATATCTATCTAAATTGGTTCATATCTATCTATCTATCTATCTATCTATCTATCTATCTATCTATCTATCTATCTGTCTGTCTATCTCAATTTGTGTGTATGTATCCATCTAATCCAGATTACTCGCATCAACTTGTCTCTGAAATTTTTAGCATTGTTACTGTAGGTCATTGCGGTGTTGTGCAAGCCATACACAAAAAAATCTCATCACGGCCATCGCTGATATCTTAACATCTATTGTTGGATGTGTATGCGGTGTAAAGGATAGCGGCTACGATTGAGAAATTTTTGCCGAGTTCGAATTCCAGTCGAGTTTGACATATTCACTTTCGCGCAAATAACCTTTGGAATGGTATGAATTAATGAATTCTCTCCCCCACCAGTTATTGCTTAAATAGTAGGGTAGACTGTGTTCTTCAGCCTTAGTTTCCAACTACTCTAAGAGAAAGCAAACCAGAGTATGGTCATACTCCTCTAACGAGTCGACAGTCATTATCTATCAACGCATCCTTCTTTATATCTATTAAAACTGTAGAGAGAGAAAATTTAAAAGAAACAATTTATTTTTACTTCTGGAAGTGTTTCTTATTAAAACTTTTAAATTCTTACCTTTTTTCTATTATTAATTCAAAAGGAAATCTTAGAAAAGAGAAACATTTCTTTTCTTTCACTGTAACAATTTTTTTTTACATTCCTGTTTGTAAATGAGTGAAGTATTGTATGCACATATCTATCCGAAATATAGAAAAAGACATGCTTGGCTCAGGCGGGGAGGTTCGTTTTAAATAGTTTTCTATTTAACAGCGTAGCTATTTATACCACACACGCGCGCACATACACACACACGCACATATATGCATGTATACTTTAACTGTGCGTACATAGACACAAATAAATTTATACATACCTATACAGATACACCAACAGCTTTCAGTTTTAACTGATGCTATGAAAGCAAAAACAAACCAAGAAGGAAAAAATATAAAAACACCTTTTTAAAAAACTCTACCTGCTAAATAATCAGCGACACTCTACAAATGCAGACGTAAAAAAGGACATTTTTATGCAAACCAAATCCTGAAGCCTTATATTATATGTTATTGAAAATGAAGAGAAAGCCGGTCAGGATTTTTTTTTCTCTTTTCCAGTGTTTCTATGGAGAAATAAAACCAGTGACCGAAGCAAAAAGTATGACTTATCACAGCAAACAGGTAGGAAAAATTATTTTTCGGAGAGGCCAACAAAAATACTGATTATTTCATTCTTTTTTAAATTTCTTTTTCGTTGGTGTAATCTAAGGAGAAGGATGATGACTGCAAGTTACTACAATTCTTGATATACCTTTTAATTGATAAAAGTTAACAATTACACAGTTAATAGAGAGAGTTTAATATTTTATTCGAGTGGAATTAGGTTGGATTTGTGTTTTTTACGACATATCAACACTTATTGGCGTATTTATTATTGGAATCTGTTTTCTGGTATACTTAAAACTATAGGTAAATATTGGTTGGGTTTATACTTGAACCTATAAGTAGACATTGGTCAGGTTTATATTTGAATCTATAGGTAAAGTCTCGTGTTTATACTAGCGTTCTTGTTTGATTAATTCTTTTTTATGGCTTATCAAAATTTTGCATGTTATTTAGAGCCAAAAATATTTTTAGATTCTAAGAATTTTTCCTTTTTTTTATATAATAATGATTTACTGATACAATACCTACTGATTAACCCATAGCTGGGAGGAGAAGATGTTGATTCATAACTTTCCCCAGTGTATTTACGCTGAAGTGACTATAACGGACCCGACTAGAATTGGAACTCGGATCTCTGATTTCCAATTAAAGGCCTTTATATATTACGCTCCCTGCATATTCAAGCTTACAGTATCTGGTATTCCCAAACGATCTCCCATCTAGGTATTGACCAGTCACGGCGTCGCTTAACTTCGATGGTCGTGCGAGAACCGGTGTTTCAACGTGATATGGCCATAAACATATTGCTTACAGACACCTTGTCTGTAGGAAAACATTGGCCAGTTTATACTTGTATCTGTAAGCATCCACCCGAAACGTGGCCGATTTTAATTGAGGGCCCGTACCTCTTTGCAGGGGAATATATTCTAGGTGCTACTGTCATGGGAAATTTTCTTCGACTTCATGCACTTAAATCTGATTAGCAAAATCAGTTATTTCTATTATTTACAGAATAGAAATCCAGGACGAACTGTATTGTCGCATAAGGTAGACACAAAATCTGAGCGGATATATGCAGGTTAATGTTCATCTGGTTTCAAACGCCAGCTATCATTATTTACAACAGAAATATCACGTGACGAATCATATCAGTTATATTATACCTTCATATATATACAAAAAATATCATATACACCCTCTTTGAAGTTGTTAAGAAAATCATATAAACTTCAATAATTCAAATTTGGTTTGAAAAACATATTGTCAAATTTTAAACAATCAATTTAGATGTCATAACAAAACCCGTGTTTTTAGGTATTATCAATATGTTTTAGCGAAGTTATTGAAGTTATTTGATGTATTTTAAAAAGCTGCCGTCTGAAGTTGTTAGGCAAAACCAAATAATCACATTTTACTTCAATAAAAAGGTAATAAAATCATCAAAAATGATCAACACCTATAATAGAACAAGTAACAAACACATATGATAAGTTTTTGAATCCTTTTCATTTTAATATAGTGACCCTTCTTCTCAATAACAGCCAGTAATCTATCATCCATTAAATTTGTTATTTTTTTACTTCAACAAGTTCAGTTTTCAACATGGTAGTTTTAATAGCTTTCCATAAGTATGCTTTGCTGTTATATTGTTTGTCACCTTCATATAATTTCATCTTCACAGTTGATCGTAGATTTTCAATTCACGTCAGGACTTGATGGTGGCCATTCCATTACCTTATCTTCTGTAAATCTTTTATGTTAAAAGAATTCATAGGTAAGCTTAGATACATGAGAAGAAGCATTGTCATGTATAAATACACACTTCACTTTGAAACTGCAAGACTGGGATTTGTACCATTCAAAGAAAGTCTTGTTCATAAAAATCGCAATAGTTAACATCGTTCAGTTTAACTCCTTTATAGACTTTGAATGGTCCAATAATGGTTTGGTCAACAATTCCAACCCATATCATAACGCTACCGCCTCCTTGTTGCCTTCCTTTAGCCACAGGCACATCTGAATTGGATAAAATCCATCGTTTGTCTCGTGCATCGGGTTCATCAAATACTACTTAAAATTCGTCCGTGAACATTACTTTAGAAAAGTCAATTTTCATGCATTTCTTGGTTCAATTTTGACGCTTTAAAATATGTTTTAGAGAGAGGAGGTTACCTAGATTTTTTTTACAGATTCCAATTCACAAAGCATTCTATATATTTTGCTTTTCTTGACAACCTCAAATCCAGCCTGTTCAAAGATCTGAGCGCTGGTCAAAAAGGTGATTGTTTCGCTTCTGAAATAGACAAAAGCAGTATTCGGAAACTTGAACCACAAAACAAGAAGACTGTTGACAAAAATGAATTAAAATTAAGATGAAAGAATTAGTTGTAAAGGCTCTACACCCGAATGAAGGAATCGACTGGTTGTTGGGTAAAAGAAAAGAAAATCAATGAGAACTAGAAAGTAACGAGGATTGCGACGATTTCACAATCAAAGAATTCAAAGAGTACAGAAAACAATAAAAGACTACAAAGAATAGCAAAAAATATTGCACTAAAATGAACAGAGGAATGAACGCTAGAAACGAAAAAGATGAAAACTCAAAAAACATTCACTTCAGAAAACAATTAGAAAAAATGGCTGATAAATCGACATGGCTATGTAAAGGAAACCTAAAAAGAGTAACAGAGTCGTTCTTAATAACGATTCACAACGCCATAATCGCAGATATAGATTAAACGTAGAGAAACAGAAAATGTAGACTGTGAGGAAATAAAGATGAATATAGCAAGTTGGCTCAGAAAGAATACAAAAATAGGCATGGCTGGGTGGGGATGGTGGTCTAGTGGGAACTGTGCAAGTGGTTACATTTTAATCATACAGATTAATGGTATATGTTTTGACCAGAATCTGTTTTCGGGGAAAGAAACATAAAATCATCTCCGATAATTGAGATTCGAATAAATCACCCAATCCAGGCCAGAGGACAGGATCTTGTTTTAGAAAACAAAAACAAGAAAACATGACAGAAATTAAATTTGGATTTTCCGGTGGATCATTACATTTGGATCTTCCGAGGGACCACTGGATTTGGATCTTCCGACGGACCAGTGGATTTGGGTATTGCGACGGACCACTGAATTTGGGTCTTTCAGCTGACCACTGGATTTGGGCCTTCAAGCGGATCACTGGATTTGTGTCTTTCAGCCGATCACTGGATTTAGGTCTTCCGGCGGACAACTGAATTTGGGTCTTGCGGCGGACCAGTGGATTTGGATCTTGCAGTGGATCATTGGATTTGGGTCTTCCGTCGGACCATTGAATTTGGGTCTTCTGGCGGTCCTCTGGATTTGGGACTTCCGGCGAACCACTGGATTTGGGTCTTCCGGCGGACCACTAGATTTGGGTCTTGCGGTGGATCATTGGATTTGGGTCTTCCGGCGAACCGCTGGATTTGGGTCTTCCGGCGAACCGCTGGATTTGGGTCTTCCGGCGAACCGCTGGATTTGGGTCTTGCGGCGAATTACTGGATTTAGGTCTTCCGGTGGACCACTGGATTTGGATCTTCCGGCGAACCACTGGATTTGGGTCTTGCAGTGGATCATTGGATTTGGGTCTTCCGTCAAACCACTGAATTTGGGTCTTCTGGCGGTCCTCTGGATTTGGGACTTCCGGCGAACCACTGGATTTGGGTCTTCCGGCGACCTACTGGATTTGGGTCTTCCAGCGAACCACTGGATTTTGATCTTCCGACGGTCCACTGGATTTGGGACTTTCGGCGGACCCGTGCATTTGGCTTTTGCGTCGGATCACTGGATTTGGGTCTTGCGGTGGATAACAGAGTGAAAGGAAGATAATGAAAAGCTGGTTAAATATATCAACTTTACGAGGGAGAAAATTGTGGAATTGTTGCTGGAGTTCTGTGAACGCTCCCGAAGAGCATTGAACAAGTCTAGAGGAATTAGCTGCATATAATTATTCTTTCTATTGCCATTTTCTTTAAGACTTCCTTTTTGCTTACTGTCTCTGTCCATCTGGAGAATTTTCAGTATCCTTCTGTAGAGCCATAATCCTGCTGTTTCTAGTTTTTTCCTCATCCGTGAGGAAATTCACATTTCAACACTCTTTGTTTAAATAGCCATTACGGCCAATTCACCTTGTAACAAAACTTCAACTTTTTTCTAACGACTTACAACCATATCACGTTGAAAACGAAGTTGAGCTTAGTCAGTACCTAGACGGCGTCCGCTTGGCAATATTAAGTGCTGTAAGCTTGGGTGTGTCGATTGTACATTGGATAACGGCTCGAAATTGTTAATGAGAGAGCCAAGTTCCAATTCCAGTCGGGTTTTTTATATTCATTGCTACCTCAAGCTATGAGTTAATTAGTAGGACTTGCGTCAGTAAAACATTATTATCTCTAAAAAAATTGATAGAATCTAAAAGTATTTTCTGGTTTTAGAAAACCGGCAAAAGGGTGATAAATCATAAAAAATAAATTAACCAATATGTTTCTAACGAAATTTGTCCGTTTTCCAGCACCTCGCTTAGCTTTTGGAATGCTTCTTTCGCTAGTCCAATGCTTACTTCGGATTTCGGTGTCACATTATTGAAATTAAAGAAATCATATCCCAAATCAAATGCTTAGAATTGGAATAAAAAGCACAGTATAGTTGATTTTTTTCCAATGTAAAACAAATGTTCAATTCAAAATCTATAACGGAATCAAATATTGTTTACGACAACTTTATCATAACCTCTTTTTAGTTTTCTTATTGCAATATAAATGTTCCTTTTTCTTGTTCTCTTTATTTTATTTGATTTAGCTCACCATATTTTGTCATGTGAAGGATATACTATTTTTTTTCAAAGCTGCTATGCGTTCTACACAACAAAGATCAAACTGGGAGTCAAGATTTGTGTCTGCTGAGTCAATCAGTTCCGGGCCAGGCTCAAGAAAATTTCGTTTAATTTCATTTTTCCATCATATAAGGATAGATCAATAAGTTTGTAACCTGACATAGTTATTATTAAGAATTATGTGACAAATGTTCATTTAAGTGAACTGACTTGAGATATTAAAAATGTCCTTAGAAATACATAGGTGAAACATCATGGAATTTACATAATTGATTGTATGAATACCAAAGGGTTGTTTGACAAAGCAATACACACATTACATTAGTCTTGCATTGATCATGATTTCGACTTAAAGAACGCAGTTATAATTAAAATACAATGTAATTTATTAAGGCACTGAAAGTTCACTAATTTTCACTACGGTAACTTTACATACAGGATCATAAATTATATATCCTTTCGTAAAAAATATATAAATAATATTGGAGATTGAAAATGTTTCTAAGCCACGGAAATTTGCCACTAATTTATAGCTTAAAGTTGTTTAGGAACAACTCTGGTTGATACACAGGCTGACACATCAGTACGGACTTATTTAGGCTTATCTGACGCCCAAAAGGATTTTGGGGCTTGATCATTAAGTTCTGCATATACTAATAGAGATGGAGCTCTTCTTTGTTAGTTAGGAGGAGATTATGCTGAAAAATAAATTCTTGCTGTAATATAAACGCGTTTTTTATTTATTTTTTTCCAAGATTAAGCTACGGACTGATTGATGCATGAACGTATGCGAAATTATATGCCATAAAATATGAGTGAATAAACTCGAATAGATTTGACCAGCTTTACACGACGAAATATTAACCAATGTCATTGAAAGAATAAGAATCAGTCGATAGTTAAGGGAACCATCTCTATCAGTGATTACTTAGCGAGAA